TGAAATAGTGGGTGAATAAGATACTTACTTCACCAATTTTTCAGATATTTTGTCTGATTTTTGGCTATTGTTTCCCCTAAGTGCTTTCTTTGCCCAAACAGCCATGGATGGCTGGAGATACCATCTTGTTCTCAGGACCTTGTACAATGCTTCCAAAATTTCTAATGTGGAATTGTCTGGTCCTCAGGTTCGCTCTTTTGCAACCCTGGCTACCCAGCTAGTCTCCAGAGAGACAGCTCCTTAGTGGAGCAACCTCAGAACTTAAAAAATATATATATACCTTTGCTGTTTTATCTTACTCCTCTCTCCCAACCTCCTGGAAGTCCTGGGCCAAGTCAAGTAGCCCCTACAAGCAAATATTTACAAACGTTTGTTCAACATTGATTTGGTCAGGATATGGATAAACTTTTTTTAATCAGTAAAAAAAAAATGTATTTAGAAACATATTTACTACCAATTCACTTCCACTAGCTGAAGAACAGGAAATGTTCTAAAAAAAATTTTAACAGTCACTTCCTATTTTTCTGAAGCTCTCTTCTCTCTTGAGTTTTGTTTGTTTGTAATTCTATGAACCAGAAAACATTTTGAGAGGCATATGAAAGGGTTAGTAAAACAAACCACCCACTCTCAAAAAATAGCCCTAGGTCGTACATTAACTGATTCAGGAATTTCAGCTGACCACTAGTGCACACATGCATCTCAAAAATATCCAAGTTAGATGGACTGCTACTAATAAACAGTGCTGTTTTCATCTCCTTTTGAGGGGAGTGTCTACCTCAGTGAGACTGGAACCAATTTTCATTTTCTTAGCTATATAAGGAGTTGATAGATAAGCCAGCATTAAAGGACACTGCTTTCCAGTTCATTCCAGTGAAATGTTGGAGTTGATTTGTTTTTGCCAATGTTATTTTAACATCCTTTTAAAATCACCCTTCCCCACCCACCTCCTTCCACAGCTGCCCACTGGCCTGCCTCTTTAATCTGGCTCTGAAACTCTGTGACCTAGTCCAGTCACATAGTTGCTCCTTAAAATGTATATATATATATTTTTTTGCGGTACACGGGCCTCTCACTAGCGGCCATGGCTCACGGGCGCAGCTGCTCCGCGGCATGTGGGATCCTCCCGGACCGGGGCACGAACCCGTGTCCCCTGCATCGGCAGGCGGACTCTCAACTACTGCGCCACCAGGGAAGCCGAAAATACTCGTCCTTGACTTGCTGACTTGAAATTGAGCTCCTGAATAATTTAACTCCTTTCTTGGAACGGCCACATTTTAATACCTCTCTTCACTTTCACTTCTGAGGGTGGAAAGAAAGTAAAAGTGTTAGAGACTCACTATGTACTTGGCTAAGGAGTACATGGACCTGACAGTAAGAATTTTTACTCAGTCTGATGTATGGGCATTATATAACCCTAGCTTGATCTGTACTCACTACAGTCCCCACCTTTACTCATACAAGTGTGATGGTTTGACTGGGATGCTCTCCTTTAGTCAGGATGGGGTGGGGGTATGAAAAGAAGAGACAAGACTGTTTCATACTATAATTCTACCCTGACCCACTGTAGCAATATCAACTATAATTCAATTCAAAATTCCACATATTCCACAAGTATATTCGGCAATACCGTTCTGGGAGGTATTTTGGAAACATGCACCGAAATCTTAGACTATCCATATTAGGCAAAAGTCTTGGTTGCCTAAAGACAGAAAGCTCAAACTATTTTAAGAAAAAAGGGGAAGTTATTAGGTCAAGTAATTGGAAAAGTCTCGGGCAGCATCTTGCTTCTGGCATGGCTGGAACGAGGAACTCAAATGATATCATCAGGAATCTCCCTTCTCTCTCTACCTCTCAGCTCTGCTTTCTTCTGTGCTGGCATCATTGTGGCAAAGTTGACTTTTGTCAGTTTCAATCTTAAACAGTCCTTGGTGCCCATAATTTCAGAAGAAAAGAGATGTTTTTATCCAAGTATCATTAGCAGACTTGGAAAAATTCCCCCTAATTGACCCTGCTTAGATCTTTTATACCACTCCTGGGCCAGTCACTGTGTCCGGAGTGGTCGGAAACAGGACACTCTGATTAATCCCAGCCATGTGACAGAAAGTTCCAACAGGTCAGGGAGAAGCAATTCCTGAAAGGCAGTTTATAAGTAGAGTGTGAGATCAGTTCTGTCATCTGAAAAGGGGAAAGAATTCTGCACAGGCAGAAATAAGGGACATCTATACCCAAAGTTCTTATTCTTCTACGTATTTACCCTTAGGAAATAATCAGGGGTGTGAGAGAGTTACAGGGTTATTCACGACAGAATTATTTATAATAACGCGAAACCGGAAAGAATGGAAATATTCAATAATAAGGGATTAGTTGAATAAATTATGATACATGTATCCAAAGGAACACGATGCAGCCTTTGAAAAGTGTGTTGTTGAAGAAAATGACGTGACAAAGTGTTCATGGTGTGTTGTTAAGCATAACAACAGGGCACAGTGTCCCAACTTATACACATTTTTACACAGGTACACATTTTATCTAAAAAAAACATATTGTGTAAATGTTTTGAAAGATTGAAAGAATAGATGACATTGATTACTTCTAGTTGGTGATATTAGGAGTAATTTTAATCATTCCCATACTTTTCTCTCTATTTTCTACAGTCAATTCACCAGTTTTCTAAGATTAGCTAAGACCCAAATGTATTCTCCATTGTGTCACATTTCCATATTTTGAGGCTTTTTTTGTAGGCACACCACTAAGTCTTTCAGAATTAATCAACCAGCCAGCTCCATACTCAAAGCACAGGCCCAGATATCTACACAGAGAGAGACTCAGGGTTCCTTTCTAAACTTTACAATTACTCCTGAATGTATCTGAAGAAAGTGAAATGTATTTCCTACTGCTAGAGACCAGGACTTTTTCTTGATCGTATTAGAAATATTCAGATTAGGGGAAACTACTTCAGTAAAACAGAGAGCAATAAACACCCTAAATGAACAAACCTTAGCTCCTGAAGCTCACTTACTCATTTGTTTCAGTTTCTCCTGGAGAATTCCCTTTATGAATGAGACTTGGCATCAACCAAAGAGCCTCTACGTTATCCAACCCCTGGAGAGAGGATCGAATAATTGGTCTCTCCCCAGTTTACCAACGAAATATCAATGAGCCAAATCTTTATAAGCCTAAAGGGAAAATTGTAATTATGTCAGTGACTTTTAGAAGAGCACAAAGTTAGGAGTAAGGACAAAAAGCAACACTCATGTTCACTGATTTCTACCATTACCCGAGTCCATCATTTCACCTGGAAGCTAACCCCATTTCCTTTTGAATTACCAAACCAGAGGCAGCTTGATGGCACTGGAAGATGACCTACAGGATGCTCCCTATTAAGATGACATTTCTGTTTCCTGGTACCTTCCACCATGGGATACACTTACTCGTAGAAGTTTGTTCAACATAGAGTCCGCTTTATCTGGTAAAGTTGTTCTTGTCACTCGAGAAGGAAACTTAACAAAGTATATCTGACACAACAGTGGCCTATACAATATGCTTTCTTCTTTCTTATTAACAGAACTCCAAATTTCTTTAGGAGGGCAACATGTCCAGCTGGAAACCTCCATTTTCCAGAGTGGCATACGTGGGGATGTACCAGTCAAATCCCCTTGCTTCTGGAAAGGATTTGCTACCCATGTCAAAGAGTGTGGTTAGCTGACTGTCTCCAGTTATGAGCTCCTGTCAGCTTTCAAGCTGAGATCCTGCTCTCCTCAAGGCAGCCCCCAGCCAATAACTAAGTAAGATGGTAATACAAAGACCTAGCCATTTCCACCCAACACAGGATTCCCCTAGCGGGCAACCCTTACTCTCACTGGGCTGGCAGAGACTGTCAGGTTTGCATCAGTGAATGCTGGCTCCCCCTGCCCAGTTTGGCTTCCTGCTTCTTTCACATTAAACCTTTCTCACTCCTCACTATCTCAGCATCTATTGATACTTCCTGAAGAACATAACTGGTGACAGCCAGCTTCCTTTGTGGCTTTGGGCAGACACATGACACAGTTCTGACCCGTGAGATGTAAGTGGAAGTGGCTAGGTGGGAGTCTAGAAAAGTACTGTCGTCAGAAGCAGTTTCAACTGACACACACCTTTTGCTCTTTGCTTTTTCTCTTCTTTTTGCCTGGGTTACAGAAGCATTTTAAAGGGTGGAGCAGCTATCTTGTGACAATGAGGTAACAAGCCCAAGGTCTAAAACCACATACTAAGGATGGCAGAGTAGAAAGCTGGAAAGAGCCTGGGTCCTAGAAGGCGTTGTGAAGGGATCATACCAGCCTTGGACTGTGTATCTCTGGGTTTCTTATTTTGTGTCACAAATAACCCCCTTACTTGTTTAAGACTTGATATGCAGGCTTTACAGTGGAATGCAAATCTAGCTAATTCATAGGACATAGGAAATGGTCTTGATATTAACCATGTTGTTAAGCCACACCAGTAGGTTACAGAGCATGTATGGAGCGTGGTCCTCATTAGCTGTGTGTGTGTACATACATGCAAATGTGCAGATGTCCTTTATATACACATTTTTAACATGCACACATGCAGATATACTTTTATACACACATTTTATCTATATAAATCTAAAATATGTGCTTAAGAAGAGGAGGGGCATGGTGATACCCACCTATCCAGCCAAATGAGCTAAATCAGCCTCCTTCAGTGAGGGGATCGGGAGTGACATAGGTTTACCCTCACATTCTCCTGTAACAGTTTAAGTCATGAGGAATAAAACAATCAGTAGGGCTCCCTGGTGGTGCAGTGGTTGAGAGTCCGCCTGCCGATGCAGGGGACATGGGTTCGTGCCCCATTCCGGGAAAATCCCACGTGCCGCGAAGCAGCTGGGCCCGTGAGCCACGGCCGCTGAGCCTGTGCGTCCAGAGCCTGTGCTCCGCAATGAGAGAGGCCACAACAGTGAGAGGCCCGCGTACCGCAAAACAAAAACAAAAAACAATCAGCATACGAAATATTTTGTGTGCAAGACAGCAAGCAAATGTTTATCAATTGTGTAATACCCATATTGATTTACCCAGGAAACTGCAAAGCGAAATGCTGCACATAATTTAAGCCAAGCAACTCTTTTCCTAGTGGAGTAGGAGAAGTCCAAAGTTCTACCTTGTCATCATCTGACAGTTCCCAATGACAAGGCAAGATATGCAACCTTCAAATTTCTGAATAAGGAAAACCAGGCAGCCACCTGTGCTTTGGTAGCAGAAAATCTGAATTGCAGACCTCGTGTACTGAATAACTTCATCGGCAAAGGTGGTAATATGGCTTGTCTTAACCTTTTTCACAGGGTGTTGTGAAAATCACATGAGATAATGACTGTAATATGATATAAAACATAAATTAATAGTAATAATAATAACTAACGCTGTCTGTTATGTCAGGCACTGTTTACAAACTTTATACATTTTAACTCATTCAATCCTTGTACCAACCCAATGGTACTTTGTGATGTGACTATGGGACCCAGAAAACTGGGACCCAGAATACGCTGAGGGCCATTCACCCATTTTGTGGGTGGCCACATTTATGTATTTATTATGAAGGAAACATGCTTCACTAGTATTTTCACATTTCAGGAAACGTGTTTAATTATGATCGAATTGAACCCTGAGACACTTGTAGATCTTTGTGCTTCTAATTATTTCTAAGAATAGAAGACACACAGGTAAGGAAAACTGTTGAAGAGGGAGGGACCTCCTTTCACCTCATGTGTTTGCCTTATCCCAGAGGAGAAGGAAACTCACTACACTTCTGTCCTCTCTCGCTTCACTCCTTTCTTTGTTTCTCCTCATGGGAGTGACTGGGATGATTGGTCAGAGTTGGGAACACTCGTTGGGCTAGTTTCACTGGTGGGGGACCTGTTTTCAAGGCTAAAGGTCAGTGCTCATGACTGCCCTGTCCTTTCATTTGCTTCTGAGCCCAGATCTGACTTGACTTTCTGTCGGAGTGGCAAGCACACGTGGGCAGGGCCTGGAGCCTACGTCTTAAAAAGGAACTTGTGGTCCTTGCTGTTTGTCTGCCATTTGGGTAAGTGACCCAGGGGCTGTTCTGAAGGCCCTGCCTGTGTTTCCCAGCCACGTGCCTGAACACTCAGGTAGCGAGTCTGCTAGTAGTGTGCAAAGGAGGAAACCGCAGTACAGCTTCAGCCGGACTCAAACTTCAGTCTCTGACGCTGCAGTTCATCACAGCCTTGCATCTGGGGGCATGTGTGGCTGCTGCCTGGATTAAGAGAGTGGTCTATCCTTTTCTCTTGCCTAGTGATCTTTTCACTTGTGTTCCTAGAAGAGAAGAGCGTTAGTGGCACCCTAATCCCCTAAAAGAAATCCAAACCCAAAAGAATATATATATATATATACATATATATATCTGAATCACTTTGCTGTATACCAGAAACTAATGCAACATTGTAAATCAACTATATTTCAATAAAAAAAGAAATAAAGGAATCCAAACTGCAACCTAAGAAACTTCATGTCTTCTGCTAGATGGAACCAGATACCCTTCTTCTAGGTCTCCAGGTTGCAGTGTAAGATTGGACCTATAGTAGTGGCTTTAAAAATGCTTCCTGGATGCATTAATAAATTATGTCTTTTTAAAAGTAGAGTTTGAAAAAAAAATTGAATAGAACAGGTTTCCAGAAAGATGAGAAGGTAAACTTAGCTTTGACAGAGCAAAGAAGGATACAGTCTTTCACAGAACCAAGGCAAAGTACTCAGAACTGAAGAAATACTGGACTTTGGATCTAACAGAAGTATCCAAACCGAACAGCTAGAGTCAGAACACAAGGGCACACATCCTCAGGCAGTTGCAGAAATTAAAGTTAGCTAGCGACGGGTGGGCTGCTCGACTGCAGAGCCCTCCACAGGTAGGTCTTGAAATATTTACTATCTGACTCCCCACAGTTGAAACATCTTTAGGTGTTCAATCAAGGTACCTGTCAATATCATGTATTTTACATGTCAAAGGGCAGCAAACCAGTATAGGATAGTTGTAACTTCTCAAAACGTAAATAAAAGATGTAGAAGAAACAGTAATGTGCAGTCCTCTAAAAAAATCTGTTTAATGAATTAATTAAATCTTATCAAAACAACACAGGTGCACTTAAAGCAAACAGTGAACAAAAGGCTTGCAACGAAAACAGCAGTTCCTGCTCCACCATTCGCCAATCCCCAGTACCTGTCATAACAGGCCACCCTTCACTTTTTCTCTATTTCTTTTGGTGTGTTTCTAAATAATATGCTTACATTATAATATTATTATTATATTTCTTGACTAATTTCAGAAATCTACTAACTTCTTTTGATGGAGGATAAAACTTTAACTCTACTTTCCCTACTCTATAGAGTTTGGTCACAATTTCAGGATAACTCGATAGTATTATTATAACTATGTAATTGTTGACTATTGAAATAAGCAATGTTCTTTTGGGGGGGGTTCTATCTTTTTATTTTTCCTACAGTTAACCACTGCCTCATTTGTTCATATGCTTAATTTCCAATATTTATAATCCTTAATTTTTTCTATCAATTTGTTGTACGTGTAGCAATGATAATTTTCCAAATGCCAGACACATCAGTTTATTCAATCAAATCCATTTTTCCCTAAAGCCCTCCCCTAATCTCAGCTCCAATTCTGACTGGTTTTTGGGCACAGGATGACATCCATGAACTTTATTTTGTTATTTTCTTATGTTAGATCTCTATTTCCTAGATCTCATTTCTCAATTGTATTCAGTTGATGGCTTTATACTTTTTACAAGTTATCAGCACTAATTTTTCTGCTTTCTACTCACTTTTATCAAATGTTAAAGACAAGATGCCATTAAACTATCCTAAAAATTACACACACTACTGTTTAACAGAAATAACAATGCCATCAAACTCAGTACCACCAATAAAATCCTCAGACATATTTAGTGCGCAACTGTTACAGAGGAACGTACAAGAAGTACTGCCTGGGTTGTATTAAGGTTTCTGTGGGCGCAAGAGAAGCTTCTCATTTGGTGTCTCTTCAAACCAATCTCTTAAAAATATTTCCTTAACTTCTGTGTGTGTGTGATTAAAGGGATAAGCTGATTTTCGGCAAAGCTGCTTTTTCTTCATGTCTCCAACCCTTATGCCAACACAGCACACTCATCCTCTTCTTTGTTTCCCCTGAACAAGACTCCATTTAACAATAATGTTAGTGACTCAATTTTTTCTGAAAATTCCACTGCGGAATAGTGCACAGCTTCCCACAAAAAGAAAAAAAAAAGGAAGGAGAGAAGGAAGAAAGGGAGGGAGGGAGGGAGAGAGTCCACTAGCTATATCTCTTCTTCCAAATCTCTGTATTTGGCTTGAAACCACTTTCTCCCTCTAGCATTAAACTGGAGCTATCCCTGGGGTCTTGGATCTTCCCCCACCCCCCCCAACTCTCTCTTTCACCAAACACTTAAGCTCTGCCCCAGCCTCTTGTTCCAAATTTGCACAACAACCATTTGTTACTATTACTCCCGCCTCCTAGTATGTCAAAAGCTCTTAGATTGATCCTCTAGTTAATGTGGATCCATTTTCATTAGGAGTCAGTGAAGGATTATTAATAATAAATTTTCCTCTTACATGTTCAAAATCAAACTAATGGATTATTTTATGCATTAAAATAAGAGTTGGACTGGGACTTCCCTAGTGGTCCAGTGGCTAAGACTCTGCGCTCCCAGTGCAGGGGACCCAGGTTCAATCCCTGGTCAGGGAACTAGATCCCACATGCCGCAACTAAGAGTTCACACGTCGCAAATAAAGATCCCTCATACCGCAGCTAAAAAGATTCCTCATGCTGCAATGAAGATTCCACATGCCACAACTAAGACCCAGCTCAGCCAAATAAATAAATTTTAAAAAAAACAAGAAAAAAGAGTTGGACTAACTTCAATTTCTCCACTTATATAGGGAGATGCATGTAAAAATCTAGGTTTACCAGCACCAAATCTCCGGCTGGGGTAGGGGGGAGTTCATGTTTTGTTCCACTTACAGATTCTTACCTGGGTAGCTGGCTGACTAACACTGAGAGTGGGTTAGTTGAAAGTGGAATAACTGAAATCGAGGACCACCATGGAGTTTTCCAGAGAAAGGCAAGTCAAAAAGAGCACTGGGAGCCATGGCCGCTGAGCCTGCGCGTCTGGAGCCTGTGCTCCGCGGCGGGAGGGGCCACAGCGGTGAGAGGCCCGCGTACCGCGGAAAGAAGGAAAAAGGGAAAGGAGAAAAAAAAAAGAACTGCTTTAGATTGTCAAAAAATGAGAAAAAAAAATGTGGGCAGATATATGATTAAAGAAGAAAAAAAAAAGAGCACTGGGGGTGGGGATTTGGGGATATAAGGCAGCAAAGTATCCAGTGTTTGGTTCTCTGAACTGTGATGGAACACTGTTGGACTTTCAGTTATAAATGAACTCTTACAATTAAAGTGCTTTCTTCATAGCACTGTTATGACAACTACGTAATCCAAGACACAAAAGACATTTAGAACACTGCCTGTCATATCATAAGCCCTCATTAGCTAATAGAAACATTGGCTGCAACTTTGTTCACTGACCTGTGCAGCTGAGACCAATTTACCTGTTTTTCTCCCTGCAGAAGCCAGACCTGGTCTCTGGTAAGGACAATAGAAGTCAGCATGTCACTCAAGGTAGGCTTGAGTCAAAATCGATGTAAGGCTTCCCTGGTGGCGCAGTGGTTGAGAGTCCGCCTGCCGATGCAGGGGACGCGGGTTCGTGCCCCGGTCCGGAAGGATCCCACATGCCGTGGAGCAGTTGGGCCCGTGAGCCATGGCCGCTGAGCCTGCGCATCCAGAGCCTGTGCTCCGCAACGGGAGGGGCCACACAGTGAGAGGCCCGCGTACTGCAAAAATAAACAAACAAACAAAATTGATCTGACTTCACAATCACGTCCCTCTAGGAGGAAGTCTTTGCCTTCCACCCCATTTTCCACAAGAGTTAAGTTTTCTGGCTCTGAATTCCAGCCTTTTTGACCAGGTCTTTCGTGCCTGTTTCTAGACCTCTCTGATGCCAGTTACTTATCCATATGGGTCTTTGTTAATTATCTGCAACTCTGTCCTCTGCTCATCCCTTCTTCTACATGGCTTGGGTAGAGATGGCTGCTTTGACAATGGTTCTGACCTTTTGCTAATAGAACATGACCATAAAATGTTTGGCTTAGTATTAGGTTCATTTATGTAAAATAGAAAACTAAAATAATTAGCTTACACAAGTAAGAAATATTTTTTTCCCCATGTAAAATAAATCCAGGCTGTAGAGTTGTTCTGTGACCTCGTCAATGTTCACCAGTCTCCTTTCCCATTCTGTAATCCTGTCCACAGTGGTGGATTCCACACTCAAGGTTTCCTCCTGATTACTAGACAGTAGCTGTAAAAATAAAAAATATAAAAATTAACATTCCAGGCAGAAAGAAAGAGGGAGAGAAAAGAAGTGTGTGCCTGTAGGTAAGTCAGTCCACTTTTAAGAACTTCTGTAGATGCTTCACCCAAGGGCTTCTGACATCTCATTGACCACCGCTATCTACAAGGGAGGTTGGTAAATATACTTCTCAGGATTGCCATATAAAGTACTGCATGGGACATTCTTATACTGAGAAATTATTCATTGTTTATCTGAAATACAAAATTAACTGAGAGTTTTTAATTTGTTAGGCTGGCAAGCTTAACATTTTTATTTGACAGGACACGTTGTCATACCCAACAACATGGGCATCTAATCGGAAGCAGAGCAGTCTATGAGCAGAGTCGCTGCCATGTTGAGCCTTCTGTTTTCTTCTGTTGCTTAATCCCCCAGTTTTTAACCCATGTTTCCTCTCCCTGTTCCCTAGAGTAACTAGCCAGTTTTAGTTTTCCTAGGGTTCCTCATCTACTACAATTCTAATATTAAAATGATTTTATTTTTAGCAGTACAATAAATTCCATTGTGTATCTGAAGTTTCCCTTGAGAGGTGAATACAAAGAGAGGCATTTAGCTCAAACTGGATGTTAAAGATAATTGAATGCTAATATAATTTGTCACATTAATTTTTTTTTTTTTTTTGCGGTACGCAGGCCTCTCACTGTTGCGGCCTCTCCCGTTGTGGAGCACAGGCTCCGGACGCGCAGGCTCAGTGGCCATGGCTCACGGGCCTAGCCACTCCGCAGCATGTGGGATCCTCCCGGACCGGGGCACGAACCCGTGTCCCCTGCATCGGCAGGCGGACTCTCAACTACTGCGCCACCAGGGAAGCCCAGTCACATTAATTTTATAGCCTAAATCTTTGGGTCCACCTCCCTATGTAAAATGTCTTCTACCTCACTGCTTTTATAGTACTTAACTCTGGGTTTTAATAATTAATTTTAAGGTAACAAGTATAGGAACAAAAATGGTGATGTAATTATATTAAAAGGAAAGCAGAGGGGAAATAGAGGAAGGTATGGGGAAGTGAGCTGTTTCATCATCCATTGTAATAGGATGTCAACATACCATGTTTAACATTGATAAATTACAAATAGTTAAATATATGTATATATTATTTTAAAAGTTTCCTCTTGGGTTTTGGTGGAGTGGGGCAGGGAGCTATTGCCTTTCAATATAAACCATTATTATTTGATTATTTTTAATCCTGTGATTGAATTATTTCACTGAAAATTGAAATGTGAAGGGGAGATTGCTCACATTACACACGGGATTTTATCTTCTTGGAATAAACAGGATGGCTTAGCAAGAGAGCCGTTACAATTAATCAGCAACAGTGACCAACAGAGTGGACCCTAGTAATCAATGAACTAGGCAAAGGTTATGTTTGTTGCCCACCAACTGCCACATTTTTCTTTTTACAGACTTCCTTCCTTTCTGTCCACCTGAAAGCTAACATTTTCATTCTTTAGAAACGTCTCACCTGCAAGGATCAGAATCCATCTACTCCACTATAAACTACCAAGCTTAAAGAGTTACTTTCTTCATGGCTATTTTGATTAAAAAGATAGGAAGTGAGAGAGTGGCATGGACATATATACACTACCAAACGTAAAATAGATAGCTAGTGGGAAGCAGCCGTATAGCACAGGGAGGTCACAGCTCGGTGCTTTGTGACCACCTAGAGGGGTGGGATAGGGAGGGTGGGAGGGAGGGAGATGCAGGAGGGAAGAGATATGGGAATATATGTATATGTATAACTGATTCACTTTGTTATACAGCAGAAACTAACACACCATTGTAAAGCAATTATACTCCAATAAAGATGTAAAAAAAAAAAAGCCTAGTGTTCCACAGGATATAAAAATGTTAATGTAACTGGAGCATGGCTACTTGAAGCAGTCAAAATGTTTGGACCTATACATGGATCACCATGAATATGACAACTATAAATACAGACTGATACCACATACAATTGTCACTGGTGATGTGATTTTCTAAATAATTAATAATTTTGAATAGACTTCTGAACAAAATAAAAAATACAAATATTAATGTAAAAAAAAAAAACCCTATCAGTGAGTGGCAACTGAAAACAAGCTCAGGGCTCCCACTGATTCTGCATTATGGTGAGTTGTATAATTATTTCATTATATATTACAATGTAATAATAATAGAAATAAAGTGCGCAATAAATATAATGCCCTTGAATCATCCTGAAACCATCCCCTCACCCCACCCCCACTCCAGGTCAGTGGAAAAATTTTCTTCCATGAAACCAGTCCTTGGTGCCAAAAAGGTTGGGGACCGCTGCCCTGGACCATCCTGTGGACTATGGCCTCTCTCAGTGATGACTGGGTTTTTCACATTGTACCCCTTTGCTTTAGCAGTTTTGAGATTTCAAGGTAGTCACCTAAGCAAGGATACCTATGAGATGTAGGTGACATTGGGAGAATATCAATCCAGAGTCTTTTCAGGCTGGTTATGCTAGGCTACAAAAGGCATTTAGGCCCACCTGGAATAAAAGTGCTAAGAGAGGAGGATTAATCTTGTTATTAGAATTGATCTCCCTAGACTATTTTTCAAGATGATCTCAACCGATAATCCCAGGGACCTTCTGCAGGCTCTCAGGAGGTAAATACTCTTATGGTCTGGTTGAGGTGCTCGTGATTCACACAGAGGTCCTGAGACCACACAGCGGATGCTGCCAGCGCTCCCTGAGGCCCTGCTGCAGCATTCTGCCCCTCTCCCAACATATGCAACTCAGGGTACCACCCTCTTGGTCTAGATCAGGGATGGAAATATGTGGCATGCATGCCATTATTCTCCCCATCCTTCCTCCCGGCCCATGGCAGACATTGCTAATCCATCATGGTGACCTTTTCTGAAAAGTCTGAATGTGGTCTCTAAATGCTCCAGAACACAGTACTCCAAATATCCGACATCTGTCAAATATCTAGCAGAGCAGGTAGATGGTGGGTATTTGGAGTTGGCAAGAGCATGACAGTGGATAGGATCCAAGTGAACAGAGATGGGCACTTTCCTCTTCATCTAGGAACATCTCTCAGGTATCCATGCCTGTTGCCATCCTTCCACGAGATCTGGTGACAAAGGTCTTAAAGCAGAGGCTGACAACCCTATAGTTTCTCTCCAGGTAGTTCTTCGATGGGGACTGGATCTCAGGTAGGTAAACTGGATTTATTGCTAATTAATCATGTTACTTCTTCTCATCAAGGCCAAATGCATCCCCACAGTCCTTCTCAAAACAGCTCCAGAGGGCCTCTACCAATAACTGTAGATAAAATCTGCTTGCATCCCATCAATGGAGACTTTTTATCTTTTTTAACTGGACAAATGGGAATCTTGACTGCGGACTGGCAACAAGGGGATCAAAGGATGGCTCGAAAGCTGCCGTTGTCTCAGCACGGCCCATTTCAAGCTGAGGCTTGTGACAGTGCACTAGCTCAGGTGGGCTCAGGCACAGGGTAAGGGAAGTCCCTGCAACAGAAGGCCCACAAGAAAACACAATAAGCCAGAACGGATGAAGACTGGCTTCTTTGGCCTGGACAGAGAGGCCAGGGAAAGACTTGGCTAAAGAAAAGAGCAGGGTTTCCCTGGTGGCGCAGTGGTTGAGAGTCCGCCTGCCAACGCAGGGGACACGGGTTCGTGCCCCGGTCCGGGAGGATCCCACGTGCCGTGGAGCAGCTGGGCCCGTGAGCCACGGCCGCTGGGCCTGTGCGTCTGGAGCCTGTCTGTGGTCCGCAACTGGAGAGGCCACAACAGTGAGATGCCCGCGTACTGCAAAAAAAAAAAAAAAAAAAGAAAGAAAAGTTCAATATTCAGTGGGCAAACCCAGCTTGGATATGATGACCTCATGAGCAGAGACTGGGCTAGTATAACTGGGAAGTCAGAAGGGACACTGGTCAATTATCTGGATATCTGCCCTGATACAGCAGACTTAACAGCTCTGAGCAGAGTTTGGGGAGCGAGATCCAGCTCCTGGAAGGAAAGGCTGGGAGGTACTTGTCTGTGTGCCAAGGTCCTAGTCCTAAAGAGGCACTTGGGTACCAGTCAGGGAGGAGGAGAAACTAGACAAAACTGAATGTCTATGAAAGAAAAAGAAAACACAAGGCATGGAAAATGCTGTGGTGAAGGAATCTCAGAGGGCACGACTGCAGGAGACCAGTGCTGATACCACCAGACGCTGGGTCCCAGGAGCATGACTTTATTCCAAGCCACCTTGGTGAGGCTACAGTTGCTAAGCTATGTGCTGAGGGAGACTAATCCTAGAGTAGGCACCCAGCTGTGCAGCTCTGAGAAAGGCAAAGACAGGAAACGAGGTGAGGCCCACAGCTACGTATCAGACTTTACTTCTCGGTGTCCCCTCTTCCCCCCTTGTGCTCCCTGTCTCTGTTCATTTTCTCACATGGCTCCTCCTGCCTACAATCCCTTTCCCTCTTTCCAGATGAGCTGATCCTATACCTTCCAGCCTTTCTAAGCCAGAAATATTTGGTCCTCACTGAGGACACCGCATTTCACATCGTATTCTGTTTATCTGCTTACAGATTCTCTCCACGGTACGAACTTGAGACTGTACATTTTGCATTTTCATATTTCTCCACAATGCACAACACAGTGTTAGTAGATTCTTTTTATTAAATGCTCATAACCTTTCCTCTTTCTTTTAGTTCAAATGTCAGCAGACGACAGCCTGTGAGCTAAATTCAGCCCTCTACCTGTTTTTGTAAATAAAGTTTTATTGGGACACAGTCATGTTTGTCATTTATGTACTGTCTATGGCTGCTTTCACTCTAAAACAACAGTGTTAGGTAGTTGTGACAGAAATATAAAGCCTGCAAAGCTGAAAATATTTATTATCTGGCCCTTTACTTAAAAAGTCTTGCTAATCCTTATCCATTTTTAGTAAGAAAAGAGATGTGCCCTTTGGACTTAATCCATTAAACCACTCACTGTTTTCCCTCTCACCTTATAAAATCTGCAAGCATTAGAATTGTGAAGAGGAATATTCATCATAAAATAGAATCTCAGTTCGGGAAGTGTCAGGTGTCAGCTAAGGGCCCTGTAGGAAATTCATCTACAGCCAAAATGTCTAGAAAGTGTCTAATTATCACTGAAAGATAATGACCTGACATTTTAGATTCGTAGATAATTTTCTCTGAACTTGGATAATAGGAACCTGCCATTTGTGTCCACCCCAGCGGGAGTTAGTCTCTCCTCCCCCAAAGCCTCCAGAATACTTCATTCTCTCTGTCACAACATCTATTTCAATTGCCCTTGCATTAATTTCTTTTCATGAGTGTACTTCCAGACTCGGGTTATCAACACCCTGTGGTAAGGAACCTTTTGTCCAACCCTGCAGCCTCCATGGAGTTTTCCCAAATCAGGTATTGATAAATGGCGATTGAATGAATGTCACTAAGACAAACATGAAAAATAGGTTTACAATACACTGATCTTATGAAACCATGGGCAAACCCTCAGCAGAGATTCTTCATACTATGCTTCATGCATACACGTTTTCAATCCTGTTTTTTCTGCTTATATCTCTGTTTCATTTGTTCATATATGTGTACAAAAAGGAAGTCATCTCAAGAATGCCTACTATACAATAGCGCTCTGTTGTTTAAAAAAAACACAAGACAAAACAATTCTCTTGAAAAAGTAAATGGCTTGTCTGGGGTCAAGCAATGTTCTCAGGAAATTAACATTATTGTGAACTGGAACACCCTTCTGGACTTTATTTTCTTAACTCTTTACTGTTAAACTTCAGCAGATAATGAATCCCATTTAGCAATCCAAGTGACAGGTGATCCAATAGGCCTCTGGTTTTCGTCTGTGTGAAGTAATATTTATAGTTCAGACCCAGTAGAAACTAACTTGAAAAACAAAGCATCTCTAAGTACTTTATTTGCCTTTGTGTAAATAAAGGTATTGGTTGCAAGATGATAGAAACACAGCTTGAATTTGCCTAAGAGAAGGGGATGGGCAGCAGGGGTTGCTGGTTCACAAAATCCAAGGAGGTAAATAACCAAATGATGGGGGAAAATGGGATGCAGCAGAGCTTCTGAAACAATGAAACCAGGGACTGGAAAGCTACCAGAACTCTCTGCTTCTCCATTTGGAATCTCTGCTTCTCTCCACATGCTACCCTCAATCTCAGTAGATCAATCTACTCTACCAGGAGGAAACCTAACCTTACACATCTCCTTTTTCCCCTCTCTTTCAAATCTTACAGCTCTATTCCTAAAGAGGGACAGTGTCTCAATTTTAGTTAGAAAAACCCCAGGGAAATTCTTTGGGCCCAGATTGGATCAAACCTAACAGGAGATGTGTCATATAAGAAAATGATACTCTTGACCTAGCCATGAGGGTAAAGAGGAAGAGAGGGTGGAGGAGAGACAGATCCTAGGAGAAGGGGGCTGGAAGGTTATTGGGTTAACAACTCCATCAATGTTCTTTGCTTTTTTTTGAGGGCATGCACTGTCCTATTTACAAACAAATCCCTAAGATTCTGGAAAGACAAAACAGGGCTAGTGAAGAGACTCACCCTGGATACTTGACCTCAGAGAAGAGACTTTCATCATAGTAGCCTCAGCTAAAGGCAGGGAGAGGTGAAATGTTTAACTATAGTCAGTGACAGTAGGCTTCCCATCAAAGGGCTTTGAGAGAAACTGACAAGAAGCACCTAACATGTGTAGCACCTGAAATGGAGCATACTGGGAGGGGTCTGGTCTGTTTTCCTAATATGAAAGACTGTAACTACGGACTGCCTTAAGCTTTCTCCAATCCCTGACCAGGACTGCTGCCAGCCCATGCAGTGTCTTTGTCTAAATCAGAAAGGCACACCTTTGTCGAGGGAGACCCAGCGCCCACCCACCTCCCTAGCACCCTGCCAGGACTCCTGTGTTGAGTGTTGAATTTCAGCTTCCACGTACCCCTCAGCCAGGCACCCTTGGGCAGGGTCCCACCTGCACGAGCATCTCTGGCAGCCCTGGCCCACCCAGAAGGAGGTGAGGTAGGCAGGCTATCCCTTCTCCAAAAGCGAGACTTCCAGCATCAGTAAAAGTGAAGGCTCAGTGGTAGCTTGGGCTTGGTGATGGAAGACAGTAGCAGGAATGGCAACAATGGCTGAATTCAAAGGACTCTAGGGATGGACAGCCCACTTCCGGTACCGGAGCCATAGGGACATCTCTGGGAGCAGAGAGGCCAGCAGCAAACTCCATGGGCGGAGCAACAGCAAAAGCAGCATTAGCTTCTGAGGCTCCTGGAGTGATTCAAGGAGCAGCAATGATGAGGGTCTGTGCATGCTTGTCTCTCCCACTTACAAAGATGTGATTATTGCATATTAGCAGCATGTAATAATTACATCATAAGTTCTCAAGCAGAGGCAGTCTATTGCAAGGACCTTCTTTGCTGCCAGTTATCGTAGGCTGTTTTAAGTTAGAAAACTGAATAGCAAAACTGAATACTGTAGAAATGCACTTTGCTCAGTAATACTTGAGTTGTTGCAATATTTGATTATCCATTTTGTTGTTACAGAAAAATTCTTAACTGTAATTGATGGTTGTTGCCATAATAGTATATTGCCTGTATTTCTACCTCTAGTAATGAGCTTTATATGCTAGATTTTAATATCCTTGAGCCTGGGCAAGCGCACAAGTCTTTTAAAAAGAAACATGGTTTACTTGCACAAAACTGATCAGTTTTGAGAGATCGTAAATGCCCTTGAAGTGGTCTTTGTGGGTGTGAAACAAATGGTGAGAATTTGAATTGGTCCTACTTAATTTATCAAGTCATGTTCATGTCCTGATTTTATATACTTGTATCTATCAATAAACATACTTGAAAAAAATCAAGAATTAATTAATTAATCAATTAATTAATCAAGAATTTACACAGCAGAATGCCTTGACAGAGATGAAACTTTTTTATCTCCTTCAAATACCATATGATATCACTTATATGTGGAAGCTAAAATGTGACACAAATGAGCTTATCTACAAAACAAAAACAGACTCACAGACATAGAGAACAGACCTGTGGTTGCCAAGGGGGAGGGGGGAGGGGAGGGATGGACTGGGAGTGTGGGATGAGCAGATGCAAACTATTATATAGAGAATGGATAGAAAACAAGGTCCTACTGTACAGAACAGGGACCTATATTCAATATCCTATGATAGGGCTTCCCTGGTGGCGCAGTGGTTGAGAGTTCGCCTGCCGATGCAGGGGACACGGGTTCGTGCTCCGGTCCGGGAAGATCCCACATGCCGCAGAGCGGCTGGGCCAGTGAGCCATGGCCACTGAGCCTGTGCGTCCGGAGCCTGTGCTCCGCAGCGGGAGAGGCCACAACAGTGAGAGGCCCATGTACCGCAAAAAAAAAAAAAAAAAAAAAAAAATCCTATGATAAACCATAATGGAAAAGAATATGAAAAAAAAGTTATTCATGAATAACTGAATCACTTTGCTGGACAGCAGAAATGAACACAACATTGTAAATCAACTATACTTCAATAAAATAAATGTTAAAAAGCATTTTTGGCTTCTTTATTTTTACCTTTGAAACATGAAGAATAACTCCCCTTTGAAGGGGGTGCTTGTGTAAGGATTTAAGGAAGCTATACTTAGAAGAGGTAATG